CTGCCCAGAGAATGGAAGGTCGAGTTGAATCCTGGCCACGTGAAACCAAAAGAAGTTCAATGATGGTACTTTTTGTTACCCTGCCTGGCGCTCAGCATCAAGGACTGGTCGGATGCACGCGTGCACACACACACACACACACACACCATGAGTGTAATAATTTTGAATGTGACATCTATTTCACCTCACAATGAACTAACAAATAATAATCCACTTTATATGAAATTTAGTTTATATACGAGTTAAAAGCGGTCTTGTGGGACTAAATTTTATTGCAATAAAATGAATTATTGTTTTGACCTCGACCAAATTCTCTCAAAATGCAAACTAGGCTCTGCAAACATCTGAGACAACACTGGACCAAAGAAGCTGAAACTTAAGAGTTCCACTGATGATGACTCTAGTGTTCAAGAGGTTCCACTGATGATGACTCTAGTGTTCAAGAGGTTCCACTGATGATGACTCTAGTGTTCAAGAGGTTCCACTGATGATGACTCTAGTGTTCAAGAGGTTCCACTGATGATGACTCTAGTGTTCAAGAGGTTCCAATGTGATTTTCAAAATGGCCACCGGTTTCAGAAGGCATATGTTCTGTAGAGTGAAAACATTGTGTGAATGAGCAGGACAAAGGTCAAGTTCCGTACGTGGAAGATGCTCACTCTCATGTGTGATTACAGTTCCTCAAAATGGTACTGATGATACTGATGGTACTTATCACCAAACCTGGTATATAGGTCTCTACATCAACCCCTGCATTGATTTCCAACCAGATCCATATTTTGTCAGTATGTTTTTGTTTGTTGTTTAACTCAGCACTCAGCAATATTCAGCTGTATAACAGCGGTCTGTAAGTAATTGGGAGTCTGGTAGTTGCCAGAGAAATTCACGCATGCACGCACACACGCACACTCACGGTGCACTAGACTTCCAGCTGACACTGCTCAAAAGTGAGAGTTCTGATGAAAAACAATCATCACTGTCACTGAAACCTCATCAGAAACCCAAGTTTGTTTGTTTGTTGTTTAACGCCACACTCCGCAATATTCCAGGTATATGACGGCAATCTGTAAATAATCGAGTCTGGACCACACAATCCAGTGATTGACATCATGGGCATCGATCCACGCAGTTGGGATCGATGACATGCATCAACCAAGTCAGTTTGTCGCCTCTAAGGTCAAGCAAGGCACTGGCACTGGCATGTATCATGCTTTCAAAGATTGCCTTCAATATGCCAGTGTTCGGTTGAGACTAAAGTACACAATTGTTGCTGTGATCCGATATGAAGAGGGAGATTGTTCCAGTGGTGGGGGTCCTGGTCTTCTGAAAGACCGGTCGATCACCACATGTTTTTGTGCATGTAGACTTGCAGAAAGTGCTGATCAGGACCTCAACACGTGGACATAGAATCAGCTGCTATTCCCTGTACCACCACGTGACACAAGTATTACCTGTACCACTGGTACCACCACGTGACAAGTATTCACCAACGACAACTAAAAGTAGAGTGAGTGAGTTGGGTTTAACGCCGCTTTTAACAGTATTCCAGTTATATTATGGCGTGTCAGCTTAATGTGGGAGGAAAGCCCAAAGTGATGCAGGTCTCAGACGTTTACCACTTCGGTGAAACCCACGAGCACGGTGCTGACAAACCTAGAAACATAATCGGGGTGAACCGGGATTCGAACCCACGATCTTTGGTTTCTGGCGTGCCCAAGGGACACAACTCTGCACAGCGAATCGTGGCGCCGTAGACGACTGGGACACCCGTGCCCCCACTAAAAGTAGAAGGGAAATAAGCAACAACACTGCAAGTTGTATTTTAACATTTGTATTTTAAGATAAAATATTAATTTCATATATATATATAGATATATTTACATCATATTTTAAGTATCAAAAATTAATTCTACTTGCTTACACCCCGTGCTCAGTTTGACAGCCATATATTCAATCACCAACAGGCAAAAGCTGCTGGCTCACAACCAGTGACATGGAAAACAGCAGTTCTCTCCCTTTGATACAAATCCGCAAGACACTGAATTTTTGCCCAGCAAAAACAAGTGTTGCCTATGAACTCTAAACTTGTGGATTTCTGGCCTGCACAATGTCATTGAATAACATGCTTATTTCAAAATTTGATGTATGCATCATAGTTAATACAATATTACTTCTAAGGATAAGATGAAGGGAGAGAACTCTATGCAACAACGACCTGGAAACATGATCAATACAATAGTGCTGTATAACTCAAAGCTAGTTTCACATAAAAAAATCATGGATGCAATCTGTGACATATAAAAGGCAAAGAATTCAATGTAATGAATGAAAAGAACTACATGTTATATGAAATAAGTAAGTTAATCTTGGGTACACGTGTATCAAACAATTATTTCGCCTCATTCCTCGTAATATACAACTCAAAGACAGTAAACATCCGATTTGTTTCACATGACTTTAGATAATCTGTCATGGCTGGTGCGTATTGCACCACATAGCCTTCCAACTGCTTGTGTAACTTGTCTCAAGAAGTACACACAGAAGTCACAGATCGAGAAAACCCCAAATGCAGGGCATGTCCAAGTATCTTGCATCATTACTGACATCAGTACTTGCCCATCCCAACAAAGTACAAGTTCTCTTAGTTAAACAAGTGATCACTCAGTTGAGTAGCCTGTGCATGGCTCGTGACTGTCAGCGTTGACTGCAATGTGCTTATAAGGAAGTAGTGTGTGCAAAGTGATCAGAAAGCTATCTCCTTTTGGATATTAACTTCTAGCTGTGATTTAAGCAACTAATACATAATTCCAGTAACACCAATACTGTTATTTAATACAATCACTATATACACTAGTCGGTGATTATAGGGAATGAGGGGTGGAGCTGAACTCCCCTTTAACCAGTACTTTAGTTTTATCACACTTTAGGAGAAGACGTAGAGGCTGCCATCTTAAGTGTTGGAAGAAGTCTGATAGTGACCACTTTGTTAGATCACCTGACCATGGACATAGTGCCGTGAGAGTGAAGGTCATGGTCAAGCTGAATCTATACCCAGTGGATCCTGGCGTAACAAGGGATGCAATTCTGTACAGCAAACCACCAATGCTTTATGAACTTACAATGATTTCACCTCTGAAAAATAATCTAACCACCATCTAAGATGTGACATTATGATAACATGACTTGTTGAAGCCTGGTCTACTCCCCAGGGAGCTGAGATTGTACATTTATCAGCTGACTGAGGTGATATGTCCTGGACCATGTCGTACTAATTCAGCTATCTCCGTCTGACTTCCAGTGCTTCTCCCTACCTCACATCAACATGGATCTGCCGGGTAATTATTCCGATATAAGTGACAATCACTTAACCAACCAGTGAGTCAGCAACAGACCTATTAATTCTAAAATATATCATAACGCAAAATTCAAGTTCTTTCAGGAAGTATATGGCAATTGTATTTTCAGTGTCCCAATGTAAGGAAACATTTCACAGAATGTCACGGATACATCAAGGGTACTACTAAAACATGACTTGCAGTCTAAGATACAAAATAAAGCACAGTTTTTGAAAAAAGAGACCCTGAAATTATCACATGAAAATACATGAATATGTTAAGATAACATGATGAAACAAGACGATACAGTATGATACCTTGATTACCTCCCCTTCTATTGCAGTAATCTCCCCTTAATGCAGGTGCAGTCAAGCTCCTTCCCAGCGTGTGACACCTTCGTTACACTCTCGGTAACATCGCTGCCACCAGTGTGGGCGTGGCCTTTACAAGAATCTTGAAATTTGCCCTCTAACCCCATATGTAGTAACGTTTATACTTCTGTTTATGTCTTTGGGAATGCCATCATATTTCATTTTGAAAAGGTTTACGACTGACCATGTTTTCCAGATGAATTTACTTTTTGTTTGTATAATCAAATTGGTTCGAGATTGCAGACTAACGGAAAATCAACCAACTTCTCCCTTACATTCTTACTATATCAATTAAAGATGATAGTTTTAATGAAATAGAAATTCAAATTGACAAACAAAGAAAGTAATTTATCAGCGGTAAGTGTATTCGGCGTCATGACAGTCGTTACATGTTTGTAAACATAACGGTCATTCGGTTGCGAGTTCAACTCCAAGCATGGTTGTGGCCTACTATCAACAGTGGGGAGTTTTGACTGGTGGCAGCGATAGTATAGAGAGCTCCGCGAACGGGCTATCGCTGTGAGGAGCTTGCAGGTGCAGTATTCCACTATGCAGTATGATATATTGATTACCTCCCCTTCTACAATCTGGATTCAATGGGACACAGAAAACTTGAACGTAAGTTAAATGCTGCTATTTTCATAATTTGGTGCCACTTAGAATTCATTTACGAACATAATTATTCAGAAAATCACAATACACAGTCAAACGCTTGTAGATTCGTTTCAGTTGGGGATCTCTACACCTAGCAACCAATGGCCTCCGAGCATCCGCAATCTTACGTCACTTGTGGTAGGGTACAGTATTAAATTGTTCACATTTCTCTGGGACCCCTATTTTGTGGCTTTGGACCCCCATTTGTTATCCTGGAACCCACAATTAATGGCTTTGAGGATCTGTACTACTTCTACAGTTCAGACCCCCCCCACCCCCCACCCTAAGGACAGAATTACATACGTTGTGTCTGCTGATGCTGGAAATCACAGCATGTATCCTGTACATAACCATGGTAGTCATGATTAATCATTGTCAATAATTTCCTAAAAAACAGTTGCCATGGAAACACTTCATATTTTACATAAACAATAAAAGTGGAAACGAGTATGGCTTTTTACAAGGAGACCGAAACATCACGTGCGACTATTTCTGTAACCATGGAAACAGTGAGTTCAAATCAAACATTGGATGTCATCTGAACAGTTTTGAAGCCACCAGAAACTGTGGATGTTCACGAGCAAACCAGCCTACATATTGCCCACGTTGGATAAAAATAAATCAGATCTAGCAAGCAGGATTATCTCAATACTGTCATCTTAGAATATGTAGCATCAATAAACACAGAGCTAACCAGCATCTGTACCAAATCATCACATTGATAGAAGTAAAGACATTGAAATCCATGTCAGTTCTGTCTTCGTGACTATCTCAGTCTGTTGCAATGCACTGCAGAGCATTTCAATATGTGATCACATAAACAGTCAATTTAACACAAATGATAAAAGGTGCTTGGATCTTTGTTACAGAAGGATGGCTGTAGTTGCAGATCCTCCATCAGGGACAGAGAGTCTGGAGGCTGGGCCAGGAATGAGGATGATGTATCTTGACAGGTTCTAGTAGCACTCCTGTCGTACCGTCTTCATGATCACGTTGGTTTGGTATATCAGGTAGTTCGCACTGATGAAGACATTTTGATTCCTGAAAATATAATGATTAATAATACAGAATTATTCATGAGATTTTTACATGAAAGGGTGGATGACAACATGGATGGAGATAGCAGTGCATGTCATGGAGAAATCACAGTGCATGTCATGGAGAAATCAGTGCATGTCATGGAGAAATCAGTGCATGTCATGGAGAAATCACAGTGCATGTCATGGAGAAATCACAGTGTATGTCATGGAGAAATCACAGTGCATGTCATGGAGAAATCACAGTGTATGTCATGGAGAAATCACAGTGCATGTCATGGAGAAATCAGTGCATGTCATGGAGAAATCACAGTGCATGTCATGGAGAAATCACAGTGTATGTCATGGAGAAATCACAGTGCATGTCATGGAGAAATCACAGTGTATGTCATGGAGAAATCAGTGCCTGTCATGGAGAAATCACAGTGCATGTCATGGAGAAATCACAGTGTATGTCATGGAGAAATCAGTGCATGTCATGGAGAAATCATAGTGCATGTCATGGAGAAATCAGTGCATGTCATGGAGAAATCACAGTGCATGTCATGGAGAAATCAGTGCATGTCATGGAGAAATCAGTGCATGTCATGGAGAAATCACAGTGCATGTCATGGAGAAATCAGTGCATGTCATGGAGAAATCACAGTGCATGTCATGGAGAAATCACAGTGTATGTCATGGAGAAATCACAGTGTATGTCATGGAGAAATCACAGTGTATGTCATGGAGAAATCACAGTGCATGTCATGGAGAAATCACAGTGTATGTCATGGAGAAATCAGTGCCTGTCATGGAGAAATCATAGTGCATGTCATGGAGAAATCAGTGCCTGTCATGGAGAAATCACAGTGTATGTCATGGAGAAATCAGTGCCTGTCATGGAGAAATCAGTGCATGTCATGGAGAAATCATAGTGCATGTCATGGAGAAATCAGTGCATGTCATGGAGAAATCACAGTGCATGTCATGGAGAAATCAGTGCATGTCATGGAGAAATCACAGTGCATGTCATGGAGAAATCAGTGCATGTCATGGAGAAATCACAGTGCATGTCATGGAGAAATCACAGTGTATGTCATGGAGAAATCACAGTGCATGTCATGGAGAAATCACAGTGTATGTCATGGAGAAATCACAGTGCATGTCATGGAGAAATCAGTGCATGTCATGGAGAAATCACAGTGCATGTCATGGAGAAATCACAGTGTATGTCATGGAGAAATCACAGTGCATGTCATGGAGAAATCACAGTGTATGTCATGGAGAAATCAGTGCCTGTCATGGAGAAATCACAGTGCATGTCATGGAGAAATCACAGTGTATGTCATGGAGAAATCAGTGCATGTCATGGAGAAATCAGTGCATGTCATGGAGAAATCACAGTGCATGTCATGGAGAAATCAGTGCATGTCATGGAGAAATCACAGTGCATGTCATGGAGAAATCACAGTGTATGTCATGGAGAAATCACAGTGCATGTCATGGAGAAATCACAGTGTATGTCATGGAGAAATCACAGTGCATGTCATGGAGAAATCAGTGCATGTCATGGAGAAATCACAGTGCATGTCATGGAGAAATCAGTGCATGTCATGGAGAAATCACAGTGCATGTCATGGAGAAATCAGTGCATGTCATGGAGAAATCAGTACATGTCATGGAGAAATCACAGTGCATGTCATGGAGAAATCAGTGCATGTCATGGAGAAATCACAGTGCATGTCATGGAGAAATCACAGTGTATGTCATGGAGAAATCACAGTGCATGTCATGGAGAAATCACAGTGTATGTCATGGAGAAATCACAGTGCATGTCATGGAGAAATCAGTGCATGTCATGGAGAAATCATAGTGCATGTCATGGAGAAATCAGTGCATGTCATGGAGAAATCACAGTGCATGTCATGGAGAAATCAGTGCATGTCATGGAGAAATCAGTACATGTCATGGAGAAATCACAGTGCATGTCATGGAGAAATCAGTGCATGTCATGGAGAAATCACAGTGCATGTCATGGAGAAATCACAGTGTATGTCATGGAGAAATCACAGTGCATGTCATGGAGAAATCAGTGCATGTCATGGAGAAATCACAGTGCATGTCATGGAGAAATCACAGTGCATGTCATGGAGAAATCACAGTGTATGTCATGGAGAAATCAGTGCCTGTCATGGAGAAATCACAGTGCATGTCATGGAGAAATCACAGTGTATGTCATGGAGAAATCAGTGCATGTCATGGAGAAATCAGTGCATGTCATGGAGAAATCATAGTGCATGTCATGGAGAAATCAGTGCATGTCATGGAGAAATCAGTGCATGTCATGGAGAAATCACAGTGCATGTCATGGAGAAATCAGTGCATGTCATGGAGAAATCACAGTGCATGTCATGGAGAAATCACAGTGTATGTCATGGAGAAATCACAGTGCATATCATGGAGAAATCAGTGCATGTCATGGAGAAATCACAGTGTATGTCATGGAGAAATCACAGTGTATGTCATGGAGAAATCAGTGCATGTCATGGAGAAATCACAGTGCATGTCATGGAGAAATCACAGTGTATGTCATGGAGAAATCACAGTGTATGTCATGGAGAAATCAGTGCATGTCATGGAGAAATCACAGTGCATGTCATGGAGAAATCACAGTGTATGTCATGGAGAAATCAGTGCCTGTCATGGAGAAATCACAGTGCATGTCATGGAGAAATCACAGTGTATGTCATGGAGAAATCAGTGCATGTCATGGAGAAATCAGTGCATGTCATGGAGAAATCATAGTGCATGTCATGGAGAAATCAGTGCATGTCATGGAGAAATCATGACAATCAGGGCGGGCTAAAAAGATCAATTATCAGAATTCTCGTCGATGGGAAGAAATATTAGCTACAATCCATGTGAAATTGTTGCCACCGATATTATCTTTAATAAACTATTGTGATGAAATGAAGATTAGATTTACCGAAACAGACTTGTTATTGTCATAGTATTAATCATTGAAGACGGAAAGCAACTGTTTTGGTTATATCTCAAATGTCCACAAAGTAACCCATGTATAGATCTGTCACCACTCACCAGTGATGTTGATATCTTTCGGGACTTTCTTGCATATTTGCTTAAAGTTACTTCTCCGATATTTATTGATAATTGATTGATATTTAGATAGTGATTATCAATCTCCATAATGAATAGCGATACCCAGCCCTCAGGAGAATCAACTTGATTCTACTTCTGGAATCAATACTTTGAGTGACTTCTCTGACATAAACCATGTTATGGTTAAAAACAATTTTCTCCATAACTTTGTATAATGATGTAGAGTTGTGTCAGGTTAAAAATGCATGTTTAGAATCAACAGCAAGGTTGGTTGGTTGGTTGGTTGTTTAATGCCGCACTCAGCAATATTCCAGCTATATGACGGTGGTCTGTAAATAATCGAGTCTGGACCAGACAATCCAGTGATTGATATCATGAGCATCGATCCACACAATTGGGATCTATGACATGCATGAACCAAGTCAGTGAGCCTGACCACCCGATCCCGTTAGTCGCCTCTTACGACCAGCATAGTCGTCTTTTACGGCAAGCATGGGTTGCTGAAGACCTATTCTACCCCGGATCTTCACGGGTCTCAACAGCAAGGATAATAGCCAGACATCATAATAATTGTTGGGAAATCAGAAATGATGGCTGTAACCGTGGCAACACATACTGGTTGGTATCCCTAAAATAGTCTTTCAGTGTGTTGCTGAACTTCTTGGAATATCGAACAAAGTCCTTCTTTCTGTCTTCAAGAATCTGAAACAAACAAGAGAACAATTTAGGGCACCAATGTGTCAGAGAACCAGTAATTACCATTCTGCCTGAGAATGGCAGAACTACATCAGTTTCAATCAATAAGAACAACAAGGGAATCCTGTACCACACTACACCATGACTGTCACAATGGCACCACACAAAGCTCCATCTGACCTTGACCTGATAAACAGTCACTTAACTGTAGGTACAACAATTGTCATGGCTACAGAAGGAGCTGGCCATCCAATGTTAAAACTGCCTTTCTAAGAGTGGTAGCTGAATTAGGAGAAATATGAAACGTGAGGCTGTTTTTCTATTACTTGTTACCATGGTTACCTCTTCAGGTATAGTGAAATCTGGCCAATGTTCATAAATGAAAAACGTTGATGAAGCACAAAAATCAACCAGCTGTACCACCTCACACCACTGGGTCATCATCAACCATCAACTAGCTGTACCACCTCACATCACTGGGTCATCATCAACCATAGACCATCTGTACCACCTCACACCACTGGGTCATCATCAACCATCAACTAGCTGTACCACCTCACACCACTGGGTCATCGTCAACCATCAACTACCTGTACCACCTCATACCACTGGGTCATCGTCAACCATCAACTAGCTGTACCACCTCATACCACTGGGTCATCGTCAACCATCAACTAGCTGTACCACCTCACACCACTGGGTCATCGTCAACCATAGACCAGCTGTACCACCTCACACCACTGGGTCATCGTCAACCATCAACTACCTGTACCACCTCACACCACTGGGTCATCGTCAACCATCAACTACCTGTACCACCTCACACCACAGGGTCATCGTCAACCATCAACTACCTGTACCACCTCACACCACAGGGTCATCGTCAACCATAGACTAGCTGTACCACCTCACCTCACTGGGTCATCGTCAACCATAGACCAGCTGTACCACCTGACACCACTGGGTCATCGTCAACTATCAACTACCTGTAACACCTGACACCACTGGGTCATCGTCAACCATCAACTAGCTGTACCACCTCACACCACCGGGTCATTGTCAACCATCAACTACCTGTACCACCTCACACCACAGGGTCATTGTCAACCATCAACTACCTGTACCACCTCACACCACAGGGTCATCGTCAACCATAGACTAGCTGTACCACCTCACCTCACTGGGTCATCGTCAACCATAGACCATCTGTACCACCTCACACCACTGGGTCATCGTCAACCATCAACTACCTGTAACACCTGACACCACTGGGTCATCGTCAACCATCAACTAGCTGTACCACCTCACACCACTGGGTCACTGTCAACCATAGACTAGCTGTACCACCTCACACCACTGGGTCACTGTCAACCATAGACTAGCTGTACCACCTCACACCACTGGGTCACTGTCAACCATCAACTACCTGTAACACCTGACACCACTGGGTCACTGTCAACCATAGACTAGCTGTACCACCTCACACCACTGGGTCACTGTCAACCATAGACTAGCTGTACCACCTCACACCACAGGGTCATCGTCAACCATCAACTAGCTGTACCACCTCACACCACTGGGTCATCGTCAACCATAGACCAGCTGTACCACCTCATACCACAGGGTCATCGTCAACCATAGAGTACTGGTTGTATCGATGGATAGCCATTTCCACACAACACCATGTGTACTAATGGAGTTTCCACACAACACCATGTGTCCTAATGGAGTTCCCACACAACACCATGTGTCCTAATGGAGTTCCAACACAACACCATGTGTACTGATGGAGTTTCCACACATCACCATGTGTACTAATGGAGTTTCCACACAACACCATGTGTACTGATGGAGTTTCCACACATCACCATGTGTACTAATGGAGTTTCCACACAACACCATGTGTACTGATGGAGTTTCCACACATCACCATGTGTACTAATGGAGTTTCCACACATCACCATGTGTACTAATGGAGTTTCCACACAACACCGTGTGTACTAATGGAGTTTCCACACAACACCATGTGTACTGATGGAGTTTCCACACAACACCGTGTGTACTAATGGAGTTTCCACAAAACACCGTGTGTACTAATGGAGTTTCCACACAACACCATGTGTACTAATGGAGTTTCCACACAACACCATGTGTACTAATGGAGTTTCCACACAACACCATGTGTACTGATGGAGTTTCCACACAACACCATGTGTACTGATGGAGTTTCCACACATCACCATGTGTACTAATGGAGTTTCCACACAACACCGTGTGTACTAATGGAGTTTCCACACATCACCATGTGTACTAATGGAGTTTCCACACAACACCGTGTGTACTAATGGAGTTTCCACATATCACCATGTGTACTAATGGAGTTTCCACACAACACCATGTGTACTGATGGAGTTTCCACACATCACCATGTGTACTAATGGAGTTTCCACACAACACCATGTGTACTGATGGAGTTTCCACACAGCACCATGTGTACTAATGGAGTTTCCACACATCACCATGTGTACTAATGGAGTTTCCACACAACACCGTGTGTACTAATGGAGTTTCCACACAACACCATGTGTACTGATGGAGTTTCCACACAACACCGTGTGTACTAATGGAGTTTCCACACAACACCGTGTGTACTAATGGAGTTTCCACACAACACCATGTGTACTAATGGAGTTTCCACACAACACCATGTGTACTAATGGAGTTTCCACACAACACCATGTGTACTGATGGAGTTTCCACACAACACCATGTGTACTGATGGAGTTTCCACACAACACCATGTGTACTTATGGAGTTTCCACACAACACCATGTGTACTAATGGAGTTTCCACACAACACCGTGTGTACTAATGGAGTTTCCACACAACACCATGTGTACTGATGGAGTTTCCACACAACACCGTGTGTACTAATGGAGTTTCCACACAACACCGTGTGTACTAACGGAGTTTCCACACAACACCATGTGTACTAATGGAGTTTCCACACATCACCATGTGTACTAACGGAGTTTCCACACAACACCATGTGTACTAATGGAGTTTTCACACAACACCATGTGTACTAATGGAGTTTCCACACAACACCATGTGTACTAACGGAGTTTCCACACATCACCATGTGTACTAATGGAGTTTCCACACAACACCATGTGTACTAATGGAGTTTCCACACAACACCATGTGTACTAATGGAGTTTCCACACATCACCTTGTGTACTGATTGAGTTTCCACACATCACCATGTGTACTAATGGAGTTTCCACACAACACCGTGTGTACTAATGGAGTTTCCACACATCACCATGTGTACTAATGGAGTTTCCACACAACACCATGTGTACTAATGGAGTTTCCACACAACACCGTGTGTACTAATGGAGTTTCCACACAACACCATGTGTACTGATGGAGTTTCCACACATCACCGTGTGTACTAATGGAGTTTCCACACATCACCGTGTGTACTAATGGAGTTTCCACACATCACCGTGTGTACTAATGGAGTTTCCACACATCACGGTGTGTACTAATGGAGTTTCCACACAACACCATGTGTACTAATGGAGTTTCCACACAACACCGTGTGTTATAACGGAGTTTCCACACAACACCATGTGTACTGATGGAGTTTCCACACAACACCGTGTGTACTAATGGAGTTTCCACACAACACCATGTGTACTGATGGAGTTTCCACACAACACCGTGTGTACTAATGGAGTTTCCACACAACACCGTGTGTACTAATGGAGTTTCCACACAACACTGTGTGTACTAACGGAGTTTCCACATACCTGTTTGCTGCCATTCTCGGAGGGAGCCATCTCTCCTATCACCCGATTCACTGCATCGAGGAGGGTCTTGATGGAGTTAGCAATCTCCCTGAAACAGCCAGTGTACATGGTGTAAGTGCAGGCAGATATTTTATTCCTATTCTTAAGAACAAAGGAACATTAAGATAATACCTGTCTTAATGAATTACTGCATCCACAAATACTTCAATTCATAATATAAATGAAGTTCTTGGGGAGTACTTTCTGGATGTATTTGTGTAATAGAAGAATAGACAGTCTCACCCGAGGGTCTTTTGATATCAAATATATCAACGCAATTCTACAAAAGCGTAATACCCCAGGGCTTTAGATGTACTGATGATATCAAGACAGGAGGGTGAGATTCTATTTATCATCCAAAATCACTTCATCTATATCCCCTGGGCCAGCTTTCGGTAAACCGACACGATCCCCAGGACCATCTCCATGGTTCTTGCAATCTCAAGTTACCATCCCTTGATTGTCATTCAAATTTTACCGACCAATCAAACGTCGAGATAAGGAAAAAGAAAATGGGTAAGGGAGGTAACTCGGATTGCCTAGAAACAAAAGCCACTGGCAGTTCTGATAGACACGAAGACATCCTTTCCATGAAAAAGATTTTTGTGGGCTTTTGTTTGTGAGTCAGTCAGTTTTTCAATGTTGAATTTCTCGCAAACACTATCGTAACCAGTGGGACTGGCCGCTGTGTTGTTGATATCGCAAACCCAACATTGAGGATGGTTTGTAACTCCTATTCTCATTGGTACTTTAGACATAGTAGAGTAGCCAATCAAATTGGCAAAAGGAAATCAAGGGCGGGTAATTTTAGATTGCGAGAAGCATGGGGATGGGTCCAGGGATTAGCATGGTTAGTGTAGGTTTAGCGAAATGCTAGCCCTGGCGATTTTCAGATTCCTAAATCATTCTTCCAACTAACTAAGTTTGTAATCAGTAAGGGACGCAGAGAAAGAATGTTCCAAATCGGCGATTGTCTCTTCTCATTCATGAATTTTCAGCACTGTTCAAAGCAATGATCATCCTTGAAATGTGAAATGCTTCCAAACATGTCTGAGGCTGGGTTTAACATGTCAGGCCCTGTGTCACAAAGGTCATACACTTGGATGAAACATGAGTGAGTGAGTGAGTGATTAAGTTGGGTTTAACGCTGCTTTTAACATTATTCCAGTTACATCACGGCGTGTCAGCTTAATGTGGAAGGAAAGCCCGAAGTGATGCAGGTCTCAGACGTTTACCACTTTGGTGAAACCCACAAGCACGGGTATGGTGCTGACAAACCTAGAAACATTATCGGGGCAAGCCTGGATTCGAACTCACAATCATAGGTTTCTGGCATGCCCAAGGGACCCAACTCCTTAGACGACTGCTTCACAAATTGTACCCATGTCGTGAACAAAACCGGGTCTTCAGCAAGACGATCGAACGCTTTAAGCACTAGGCTACCTGACCACCCCTAGGAGACTACTAGAATTGCATGCTTCATTTCAAATCTAATGCTGCTGGATGTGTATTTACTTGATTGTCTCCAAAAACTGTTTCCTGTCGTAGATCTGTTCTGGAATGCGACTGAGTATCCGCTTCAGGTCCCCGGCACAGTGGTTCAACTCCTGGTAGATCGGCTCGGAGCGTGGAATTCGAAGCTCTGAAACAAATGCCATGACCATATTACTGTCTATTCCATCCTCCATTCTTCAGTTTAGAATACACACTACATCCTCGAAATGTCCAAGCATAATGATCAGGTGAAAAACTGTTCCCACCTCAGTCAGAGACAATACTAGGCAGGTGTTTCCCTCATCCCATCTTTTCCTGAATGTCCTAAACCTCCCCAGCAGAAATATGTATCAGGAACCATTTGGACAGTGACATTAGGTTACAGTTCACCTCACACATGTCCAACGCAACAGAGAAGCCTGTGCCTCTAGCTACCTCAATAACAAAGTGACAAGCATTTCCAGGTTGACAACGTCACTTCCAGTTTGGGATAACATGTGCCTAATGCAGTACAGCTATGACTGAGTTGGGTTTAACGCCGCTTTTTTACAGTATTCCAGTTACATCACGGCCTGTCAGCTTAATGTGGGAGGAAAGCCCGAAGTGATGCAGGTCTCAGACATTTACCACTTCAGTGAAACCCACGAGCACTGCTGACAAACCGAGAAACATAATCTGGACTAACCGGGATTCGAATCCACAACAATAGGTTTCTGGCAGGCCCAAGGAATGCAATTCTGCACAGCGAATCGTCCCGGCTTAGACGACTGTGCCCCCCATGCCCCCAGTACATTTATGAGACAGTCCCATACCTGTAGCTACTTTAATAATTAAGTTGTAAGCAGTTCCAATTTAATGGTTGCTTTTTTGTTGTTTAACGTCAGTCAACACTATTCCATCTATGTGGCGATGGTCTGTACAAAATCAAGTCCGGACCAGATAATCCAGTGATTGACATCATGAGCATCAATTGCCTCAGTTGGATACGATGACATGCTATCGCGTGGTCACCGCGTCTGACCACCTGATCAATTTAGTCGCCTCTTACAAGAAGCCAAGTTGCTAAGGACCTATTTGCGGTCTGCTCAATGCACAGGTGATTCTGGGGAAACATTCTGGGGATTGGCAAACTGAGAAGGGTATGATCAATCACAGTGACAAGGAAGAGGGCAAACTCTCTAAAATTACAACTGCTTATCATCCGGATCATGGTGAAATGACATTCTCTAAGTAAAGAGTGAGTTGGAAGAAGGATCAAACGTATTCTTGTTGGAGCACAGAAATCGTATATGACTCCCATGAAATATAGGGGAGGTGAAATTGGGTTTAACGTTGTGTCCAAGATTATTGCACTTATATAGCGACGTGCATGTACGGTGTGTGTGTGGCTGCTTGTACTAGTCCGGACTGATGCCGATTTATAGTGCTAGCTCATTGAGATACCATGTCGCAGTTTAACATGAATACCCCACTCGGACACAGTATACTGACTCCGAGCCGACCAGTCCTTGTTTTATCCCCTTAATGCCAAGCGCCAGGCAGGGTAACAACAAATACCATCTTTTAACGTCTTTTGGTATGACGCGGCCGGGGATCGAACCCCAGACCTTCCGCTCTCCGGGCAGACGCTCTACCTCTAGACCACGGAGGTGATCTCTTGAAATATAGACATTTCTATGACTGGTGTTAGAAATATACCACATTTGTGGAAAACCTGGAGCATGGGTGAAGCGTATCCTGCATTCAATCTGAGGAGTCCCATGGGCTCCACTGAACCATTCTATTTATAGACAGCAAAGGTCTCCAAACATAACACTGATAAAACATACATTAAATGGCTTAAACAATAAAAAACATGGTGTCATTATAACAATACTCTTGTCCCTTAGACATGAAATTCATTCGGAGCTACTGATATTATTAGTTGCTTATTTACGAAAAATACCCCCAAAACTATTCAAAACCTAATTACTTTTAATTAACTTGCGTACAGAAACAGTAATTGAAAAACTCAAATGTATTAAACATGTTAAAACAGCATGCATAAATACCCAAATGCAACTTTTTCAGCATGTGTACAATGGAGCTAATTTTCGAATCACGATTATGAGCTAATTTACTTTCCAAGTCAAGCCAATATTTAGTACCGTTATATACATCTAGAACATTATTTCATTTTTTTTTAAATCTCAAAATGTTTACTCTTTTGGGGAAAAACCCAATAGATGAAGTGAAAGAATATTGCATGGTCACCCGATGAAAAATGTAATAACCCATAAAAACCTCATTTGCCCAAAACGTTATGTGGAGCTCTGACACTGCAATAGAACATGTACAACGCTGAAAACCCTACCGTCTGTTTCTGTAGCTCCCCCGAGTCGGAGGAGTGTTTCACACAGATCCACCTTCTCGCTGATCTCCGCCTTCCGCAACAACACCCGCAGGAAGTCGAACGCCAGCCCTGGCAGAGATGTGTCGGCCTGGCAACAAGAGGAACGCACAGTGTGATGACCTTCATCGTGACCAGGCCACACTACATACATGGCAAGAGATTCACTCGCCAAGCAGTTCTCTGTGTGTCGTTTCCATCATGCCCTCCAAAAAAGTCCCGCCCACTAATCGAGTACTGTTTCCTGATTGGCTGACAATTGAATGTGAGGGTCTTGTGTTGCATCGTGGTGCTGAACGATATTGCTGATGATGTTGTCTACAGTTGTCTTTTGTCAATGATTAATTAAGCAGTCTGTAAAGTTATTTGTGTTGACATATCAATTTATAAGAATTGACTTCAATACGTTTTTTCGTCTATGATGTGTTAAACACAACAACTGGTGTGCACACTTTGAGCAAATCTGCTATGCGGATTTACGCAGAGTGTACATCATGGTTTTTAATTTTTTTTTATCTCCATAAACATCGATAAACACAAAAAACACTGAAGTCAGTTGTTAAACATGTACTTGCAGTTACCTGGTCTGCCATAACCGCCCTGAAGAGGTTGTTTACTAAACCCTGGCCCTGAAGAGGTTGTTTACTAAACCCTGGCCCTGAAGAGGTTGTTTACTAAACCCTGGCCCTGAAGAGGTTGTTTACTAAACCCTGGCCCTGAAGAGGTTGTTTACTAAACCCTGTGTTATGACTGACACGGTCCAAACGGAACAAACGTAAAGCTGTCACATTAGCAGCGTTAGCACAATAAGCTTACCCATTCATCTTTCTGTAAACCCTGTAATACAACAGCCATTAACACATCATAACCGAGTGAGTTGGTTTTTATGCTGTTTAGCAATATTCCAGCAATATCATGCCAGGGACACCACAAATGGGCTTCAAACATTGTACCCATGTGGGGAATCGAATCTGGGTCTTCAGCATAACGAGCGAACACTTTACCCACCATGCCCCAAAGGCTACACCACAACCCCTCACCGGTAACCCGGTACTTAGAAGTTGACGGATAACAAGGTAGACACAATTTTATGGATAACCTCTTAATACTGTAAAAAGCGACGTTTTGGTATAGATCCTTGCTTGACAACGGTATAAGGATCTATACTGAAACGTCGCTTTTTACAGTTTTAAGAAGTTGTTATCCATAAAATTGTATCTAACTTGTCATCCGTCAACTTCTAGGTAATGCCTATCAAACAATTTACCCTTGCTGGATTAACTAAGCATTGACAATCATGTCATAACACAGAAAACTGTCAATGTTTACCATGTTACCATGGTTACTAAGAGGCTAAATTTGAAAACAGAGTTAGCATGGGCAGTCACATACCTTTCCTATTGCAGCCCTGAGAGTTTGAGCAGCTGATATATCCTTCCCCTCCAACTGCACAGAGAGACAAAAATGTCAGCATGGACGGAAGGTTTATGTTCAAGCAAAGAGCAGACAATGCTAGACATAGCTCTTAATATAAATGGCATCAGTTCATTTTCTGTCAAAACATTTATAAGCAAGATGAAGTGATCTGTGCATTATTCTCTGCACTAGAAATTGTAGAATTCATGTAAGCAGTGTTACTTCAGCGTAAGTCTAGTAAAATTCTGTTTGGTCAAGTAAACTCAGTTAATCTTAGTCCACATATTAACCACAGATAGCACCAAAATCTATTAAATGTTGCGAAGATCTTGGGCTGGTAGACCTGAAGTTCTGGCACAGACTGTATGTGTGCATCTTCCTGAGGCAAGGGAGTTAGCTGACTGTAAAAGTCCAGTTTCCACCCTTACCGATCTAGGCTGCAAATGTGGAGTTATATTTTGGCAGGACTAACAAGTATATGCATAAAAGGAACACAATTCCTAATAGCCATTGGTGGCGCTGCGATCGAGGCCAGAAATTCCAGCCTAGTTCAGTGGACATTTAGAGTCAGTGAACTCCCCTGCCTAGGGTTCGTTGGTTGGTTGGTTTGTTGTTTTACGCCGCACTCAGCAATATTCCAGCTATATGACGGCGGTCTGTAAATAATCAAGTCTGGACCAGACAATCCAGTGATTAATATCATGAGCATCGATCCAGGCAATTGGGATCGATGCCCCTGCCTCGGGAAGATGGTGTGTGTGATGCCTGCATTCAAACAACAAATAAAGATATTAGGAAATATAATTACACAACCCCACAAGGCAACATTCAGTAACTATATCCAGTGTCACAAGGTCACGATACATAGGTCTCCAAACGATATGTTTCACCTCAAACACAGTGTTGTTAAACTATTCATATTATAAAGTTTTTTAAAACATTTCATGCATAGTAGTCTTATATTTTCAACTCCAGTTGAAATGAATTGGATTATAGTTAACATGGTTAATCAGCTGTAGAAACTAACATTTTTGGTCCACTAGTCCTTATAATGATAATATATAGCAAAACCCTTAAAAATGGCAAATTTCTACTAGTCCTTATGATACCTTAACTATTGGGCAGTTTGGCAAGGACTACAGGACAAGTGCCAATTTCTAACCCTGAGTGAATGCAGATTCATATGTTATCCATTATGCCGCTCATCTGGAGCTCTGTGTCTACTATTCATAACATTTGCAATGATATAAGGCTAAAAAAAATAATAGTCTTGATTCTCAGGCACTGCCCACGTCATCATAAAGTTCACTGCACGTTTTGTTTTTGTATCCATTTTCAATTTTTTGTGTGCATTGTGTTAAACATGTTAAAGGCTTAGGATGTTTATATTTTTTTTGAAAATAGAAATAAAAACAAAACATGCGGCAGACTTTATGATGATGCGGGTGGTGCCTGAGAACCAAGACTATAATCATGATAATACAGCAATAAACAGTATTAGCAATACTGAGGAACTGTACCCTTTCTAGAACAGGTCCAATGACAACGTCAACTGTGAGTTTGGCATAGAGAGACTTATGGTTGTCCCCCATGATGGATCGATGATGTTCTGCTCCGTCTCTGAAACAACGCAGTGAGCATGGCTAGTATTCAAACATCAGGGATTTATCCAGGATTCCAAACTAAAATGCCCTCAGCATGGACTTTGGGGGACAAAATTGTTATTTTACTCAAATTGGTCAGTGAGATATAGTCATCTGTACAAAGCTATAACATTAGTTACTACTTTAAACTAAATAACATGAATTGGGAAGTTATTTCAATTTGGGTATAAATTATTTACTGCCGACCTGGGGACGAATTTTAATCTCACGAAAATCGGATCTTAGTTCTCGCTACTGCTAAACAAAGATCACTGACATCCCATTACAGGTCATGATAGAATGATCTTTCACAAACTTTGACCGACCAATGAAATGACTAACAAGAAATCGACCTAAGCCAACCAGAGAGCAGCTTTCTCGAGCTATATGGCACTCGTTTCAACCGAAGACTGCTATTCCAACTACCCTTTGAAACTTATACAATGTTATATTGAGAACTCGATTCAGTATTTGAAAACTGAACAAAAAAACTTTGTAATAGATAGCCAAAATAGTATGGCAGTCATGAAACGTTTGCAGTAAATTTGATTATGGGTAAGAAAGAGAAAAACAAACTTGAATCTAGGAATTACTGTTTGTCTTTCCCTTAGGAATTAATATCATAGATGACATTAATACCTGCGGGAAAGACAAACCGTAAATCCTCCCAGCTCGTCAGTCCTTCCTATAGTAATGAATACTATCAGTGGCCAGTAGATGTCTCATAGTGAAGGCGAAACTGGATATATATATACCGGTAGGTATGATTTCACCGCAACAATAAACCGCCAAGGTAACTCACCAGTGATTGAAGACAAGTGACATAAAGATATATTCATAACTGATTTTGACAACTTTAGACTGGGTCATTTTCTATATCTTTTCCAATTTTGAAGAAAATATATCAGCCAATGACCTAAAATATCAACCGATCAGAAAATCTGAAAATCCCTGATAATAGTGATATGTAATCAGTGTTAATTATGACCACAACCAAACTGATGACATAAGACGCACGATGGTAGCACCATACACTGCTTTAGAACGCTCTGTCATTGATTTACTGACACTAGGCCTAACACTGACAAGATGAATCAGAGATCAAACACTCCTGGTCGAAAGTCTAGGAAAGTCACTTCACAAGTGGTTGTACGATTCATAATATTCAGCAATAGAGAAACATGTTGAATATATTGGTCACAACGAACACATATGGGTACAAGACAGTTATATATAAGAATACAGAACACAGAAATACCTCTAAACAACAATCAATTGTCAATTATTCTCGTCGGGTAAATCCTGACAAGTGTATTTCTAGGCGTCGTCCATTTACAAGCGCCAGAGACCCCTGGTGTTGAACAATACCATATATAGAGTTACCTCCCCTTTGCCACTATGCTTTTCGTGAAGGGTTTTAAGACGAACTACAGCCAAGTCCCGTTAATCCGACAAGGTTGGTTGCATATGATTATGTCGGATTAACGAGTATGGCGGATAAACGAAATTAAGTAGCTACAAGCCGACTCGTCTCGCATCAAAACACGGGCTGTGTACTCGCGGGCAGATGACCGCGGAGCACGCTGATCACTGTGTCGGATTAACGAGACCGATTTATGAGTTATTTACGCGAAATCTGACACATTTGCGACAGGACATGAACAGACGGAAATTAGAAGTCTCATCAAAAATCATTTTAAGCAGAATTATTTGTTAAATGTTTACTAATTGGTTTTAAATTCCCTTAAGACTGGCGCCAAGGATGTAAATATACACTCACTGGCAAAAGAAACTATATCACAATTTAAATCATAATTTTTCGTAAACATGTTTGCAAATTGCTATGAATCAATTACCCTAAACGCAACCAACGCGAGTGTTACTGAAAGCCACACTTCTGGTCACGGGATCTCGTGCAAAATTAGGTTAACCTTGAAAGTTTGACGCACGTGCAGCAGGGTGTACTGGGCAGTTAGGGAAAACAAGCAGTGCAGCTGTCTTCTGTGACACCCAGATCAGCATCAAAACTCAACGGCCACGCCAAGGCTATCGAAAGTTGGTTGGTTGGTTTGTTGTTTTACGCCGCACCCAGCAATATTCCAGCTATATGACGGCGGTCTGTAAATAATCGAGTCTGGACCTGACAATCCAGTGAAAAATATCATGAGAATCGATCCACGCAATTGGGATCGATGACAAGCTTCAACCAAGTCAGCGAGCCTGACCACCCGATCCCGTTAGTCGCCTTTTACGGCAAGCATGGGTTGCTGAAGACCTATTCTACCCCGGATCTTCACGAAAGAAAAGAGCAGAATGGCAATAGGTATATGATACAGATGGGAACCACATATGACCAAGGGTCAAGAGTTTTCATTTGTTCCCGCACTGCAATCACGTTACAGGCACACTGGGGTGGTCAGGCTGTCTGACTTGGCTGATGCACATGTCATCGTATCCCAATTGCGTGGATCGATGTCATGATGTCAACACTGGCTTGTCTGGTCCAGACTCGATTATGTACAGACCGCCGTCATATAGCTGGAATATTGCTGAGTGCGGCGTTAAACAACAAACAAACAAACAACAAACAGGCACACTGGGCATACTGTGGACAGGCCCAGGACTGGTAGACCATCCGTCACGACCCACAAGACCCGTCCTACACCCGAAGAACAGATGGTCGCAACAGCCCTCTGGCATCCTGTCAGTCGAAGAACTGTATCGAGGAGACGACGACAACGTGGTATCCGTGCCTTCAGACTGTACCACGGAATAGCCTTGATGCCTCAACATCGACGTCAACGATTGAGGTGGTCACCACCGTTAGCCAGCGGCAGATTAGAAACTGGGAACGGGTCCTCTTTTCTGAGGAATGTCGACTCCAGCTTTTCAGTCCTGAGAGTGCGTATTCGCCGTCGGCGGGGAGAGCGGAGACGCCGTTCGGGAAGTCGTGCTTTTTAGCGGTGGTAGCGTCATGGTTTGGGCAGTATCAGTGGACAACAGAAGACGGATCTCGTAGTTTTCAACGCCAATCTTACGGCACAACGCTACGTGGATTAGGGAATTCGCCCAGTTGCTCTCCCGTACCTGCAACAAAACCCTTGGATCAGATTCCAGCAGGAAAACATCCGACCACACACAGCGCGAACCACCATGAACTTTCTCAATGCCAACAATGTGAACGTTTCGCCGTGGCCAGCCCGATGGGTGGGATCATTTGGGACGTCAACTTAGAGCAAGACGGGTTCCTGTGATTACTGGACAAAGTTCATTGCAAGCACGAGTGGAGGAATGGCGTCGCATTCCATCTCAAGTCATTCGAGGTCTGACGTAATCCTCTCAGGGTCGAGTGTACTGATGACCGTGGTGGGCACACGCGACATGTATAAAATGTGGGATAATCCTGCCATTAGGACTGAACTTAAACGGTATACTAAGTGCATTTTGAATGATCGAAAACCGGACAACTTAGCCATCCTCATGATTGTGCCCCTTTATTTTATCAGCTTACAGCCACACACGTCTTATATATTTTTATATCTTTTTGAAGTATACTAATCATGTTAACATATTAAAAAAAATACATAATTGTATAATTCGGGAACACATTTCCAACAAAAATAGCAATTACTTGAGTAATCCCCGACGATTTCCAGATACTGTAGTGCCAAACCACCTTCTATATTAGATCGCTATTCGTGAGTACACATGAACTCGAAACATTCCACATGACTTCACGTGATCAGAGGTAATCGATTACTCAAGTCAATGTCACTCACTCACCCCTCCACACGCTCCTGTTGCTACTGCTGTAACCACCACAACTTCTACTACTACTACTGCTGCTGCTGCTGCTGTAACCACTACTACTACCGCTTCTCAGCAACCCATGCTTGTCGTAAGAGGCGATTATAGGGATCGGGTGGTCAGGCTCGCTGTCATCGTATCCCAATTGCGTGGATCGATGCTCATGATATCAATCACTGGATTGTCTGGCCCAGGCTTGTTTATTTACAGACCACCGCCATATAGCTGTAGTATTGCTGAATGCGGCGTTAAACAACAAACAAACAAAACCACTACCGCTACTACTACTACTACTACTACTACTACTACTACTACTACTACTACTACTTTTATCGCTACTACGACTACCGCTACTGCTGCTGCTACTGCTATTGTTGCTACTCCTATTACTGCTACTACTACTACTGCTACTACTACTGCTACTACTACTGCTACTACTGCTGCTGCTACCTCCACAACTCAAACCACGTGATTAGGATGTTATAAATCTAGAATAGTGGTAACCTCCTAAACACACCCTCTAACTGTTCCACGAGACTGCAAGACGGTCACTTTTGATTTCACTCTTCTAATACCACTACGACCACATCTGCGACTACGACTACGACTAAATCTGCGACATGCACATCTATTGGTGGATCCCGACATCACTGCGCTGAATTTCATTATTCAGCATTTCGGAGTACCGCTGACTCACGTGAAATCTCGGCTTCCCTGGAGATCTCCCGTGGTTTCGTGGCTGGGCTCACAGTCATCCTGGCGATAATCTCACAACACTCCGACACCAATATTTTTGTCAGCAAATTTGTACTGTCATCAATACTATCACTTTACAAACACAATCATGTCGTAACTAGAAACCGTACATATACCAATTAAAGTAAACCCTCCATAACGCATGTTATCACCTCAAGGTGAAGTAGTGAGTGAGTGAGTATGGTTTTACGCCGCTTTTAGCAATATTCCGGCAATATCACGGCGGGGGACACCAGAAATGGGCTTCACACATTGTACCCATGTCGGGAATTGAACCCGGGTCTTCGGCGTGACGAGCGAACGCTTTAACCACTAGGCTAGCCGACCGCCCCTCAATGAGAAGTAGGGGCGGTGGGGTAGCCTACTGGTTAAAGCGTTGGCTCATCACGCCGAAGCCCGGGTTCGATCCAGGTACAATGCGTGAAGCCCATTTCTGGCGTCCCCGCCGTACCAACTCACTCACTCACACACACCTTCAGTCGAGGTGAATTAAGGGCGATTGGGTAGCCCAGTGGTTAAAGCGTTCGTTCGCCAAGCCGAACCCCGGGTTCGATTCTCCACATGGTCACATTCAATGTGTGAAGCCCATTCTTGGTGTTTCCCGCCGTGAGATGGCTAGAAAATAAGCTTAGTTCTGAATAGGTTTGTCGACAGGTTTTGTACAGTCCAAATGTATTATAAGGGTATGACGTGCATGTTGTAGTCATTATACGGCTGAAATACTGTGAAAACCTTACTCACGCACTCTCTGAATAGAAAGTAGATAATAGTAGACACTGTCATAGAAACAGGAAGTATTTCCTAATGTCGACCATCAGCATCTGCGGCGTTGATATTGGTGACCCGTGAAGATCTGGGTTAGAATAAATCTTCAGCAACCCATGCTTGTCCTAAAAGGCGTCAAACGGGATCGGGTGGTCAGACTCGCGGACTTGGTGGATGCATATCATCGTATAGCAAATGCGTAGATCGATGCTTGTGATGTCAGTCACTGGACTGTCTGGTCCAGACTCGATTATTTACAGACCGCTGTCATATAGGTGCGGCATTAAACAAAAAACAAACAAGAATACAAAGAAACCGGTAAGAAAAGTATTCAAAATTAAATGTTTCATAGTCACAACACCACGACTCACATTTGACGCCATGATGCCATATTTTAAAAATAATTTATCTTTCATGCATGAATCCAATTTCCCGAGTCGGCGACAGTGTGAATGAAGTCCTTCCTTGATTGTTTTAAGGATAATGGTTAATCTTTGGATTTAGCGGTACATTTGCGGGGACCCCACATATGAAACAACTACGACCGGCGTTGTCATGTACCGCGCCGTACTCCCACCAATCGAGAGGTCAACGTCGCCGTGCTCCCACTAATCGAGAGGTCAACGTCGCCGTGTTCCCATCAATCGAGAGGTCAACGTCGCCGTACTCCCATCAATCGAGAGGTCAACGTCGCCGTACTCCCATCAATCGAGAGGTCAACGTCGCCGTGCTCCCATCAATCGCTGTACTCTCTCCAATAAAATGGTACACATCGCCGTAATCTTATAGCCGGGTTATTTACAGGCCGCTGGAATATTGCTGAGTGCGGCGTAAAACAACAACCACATGTTATATCCGACTTGTCAACGTTGCCGTATTCTCACCAACCCACAGGTCAACGTCGCCGTACGCTCACCAACCCACAGGTCAACGTCGCCGTACTCTCACCAACCCACAGGTCAACGTCGCCGTATTCTCACCAACCCACAGGTCAACGTCGCCGTACGCTCACCAACCCACAGGTCAACGTCGCCGAACTCTCACCAACCGACAGGTCAACGTTGCCGTACTCTCACCAACCGACAGGTCAACGTTGCCGTACTCTCACCAACCCACAGGTCAACGTCGCCGTACTCTCACCAACCCACAGGTCAACGTCGCCGTATTCTCACCAACCCACAGGTCAACGTCGCCGTACGCTCACCAACCCACAGGTCAACGTCGCCGAACTCTCACCAACCGACAGGTCAACGTTGCCGTACTCTCACCAACCGACAGGTCAACGTTGCCGTACTCTCACCAACCCACAGGTCAACGTCGCCGTACGCTCACCAACCCACAGGTCAACGTCGCTATACTCTCACTAACCCACAGGTCAACGTCGCCGTACTCTCACCAACCCACAGGTCAACGTCGCCGTACGCTCACCAACCCACAGGTCAACGTCGCCGTACGCTCACCAACTAACAGGTCAACGTCGCCGTACGCTCACCAACCCACAGGTCAACGTCGCCGTACGCTCACCAACCCACAGGTCAACGTCGCCATACGCTCACCAACCCACAGGTCAACGTCGCCTTACTCTCACCCACCGACCCGTGAGGATCCGGGTTAGAACTGGTCTTCAGCAACCCATGCTTGCCGTAAAAAGCGACCATACTTGTCGAATATTGCTGACTGCGGCGTTAAACAACAAACAAACTGTTGATTCACTTACAGGATGTGTTCATGTGTTTGAATGTCGGCGATGGTATGTTATGTATACGGATCGGATTACAGCGACGGAATAAGACTGAGCATTGGCGTACACAACTTTCAAAAAACGCGTTTATGTAATGGCGATGACTAGACACAAAAAATTAGTACCGGGGTGAGTGAGTGAGTGAGTGAGTGAGTTGGGTTTAACGCCGCTTTTAACAGCATTCGACCTATGTCACAGGGCGTCAGCTTTATGTAGGACGAAACCCCGAAGTGATCCATTTCTCAGACTTTTATCAATCCGGGGAAACCCATGAGAACGGGTCTGATGCTGACAAACCTTTAAATATAATCAGAGTGAACCGGGATTCGAACCGGTTTCTGTCAAGGTACGCAACTTGTACTGATAAAACTACTAAGCGGTCACCGAGTCCACTACCTTCTATCTCTATTGTTTCTGTCGGCGGTACCTCTTCACCAAAATAGACAAACACAACATCTAAGTTATCGCGACGGTAGCCGCCATTTTGAATGTTTAATTTGTTAGATATTTCTAAGGCCTTTAGGATGCATCTTCACCTCATAGGGACACCCCGGACACCCCACTGGTGGGCATTAGGTCCACTTATGTGGATCCCGGGGTGGCCTAGTGGTTAAAGCGTTCGCTCGTCACGCCGAAGACCCGGGTTCGATTCCCCATGTGGGTACAATATGTGCCGATTTCTGGTGTCCCCCGCCGTGAAATTGCTGGAATATTGCTAAAAGCGGCGTAAAACATTACTCACTGTGTGGATCACGATGACACGAAATGAACCATGTCACCGAAAATGACCACCTGCATGTAAGGAAAGGAACATCCGCCACATCACCCTAGATACCAAGAAGAGGTTCAAAGGGTGTGTCGAACCCAGACCTGGACCAGGGCGAGCGGACGCACCGACCGCTGTACTATTCGTGTGTGTTCCACTATCCGGTACACCAAATAATTTGCTTGTTTGTTTGTTTGTTGTTTAACGCCGCACACAGCAATATTCCAGCTATATGACTGCGATCTGTAAATAATCGAGTCTGGACCAGACAATCCAGTGATTGACATCACAAGCCTGGATCTACGCAATTGGGATACGATGACATGCATCAACCAAGTCAGCGAGTCTGACCACCCAATCCCGTTGTAGTCCCTTCTTACGACAGGCATAGTCGCCTCTTGCGGTAAGTATGGGTTGCTGAAGGCCTTTTCTACCCCGGATCTTCACGGGTCGATTCACACAAACAACAAAGTGACCATTACCCGATCCATTTAGTCGTCTCTTACGACCAACATAGGTTGCTGGGGCTCTGGGGGGTCGCAGGTGGCCCAGTCGCATCCCCAAAGGACGCCAGAAACCTATAATCGTGGGTTCGAATCCCGGTCCGCTCCGATTATGTTTCTAGGTTTGTCAGCACCATACCCGTGCTCGTGGCTTTCACTTCGGGCTTTTCTCCCACATTAAGCTGACACGCTATGATATAACTGGAAAACTGTTCAAAGCGACAATAAACCCAAAGCGATCACCCTCTCACTTATTTCATAAAACAATGGCAATTTGCTTGGTCACTCACAAGCAACACTAAGGTAGCATGCTTCTATACCTTACACGCCATGCACGGTGATCATTCTAATGCACATATTTTGAGTTAATTACGGTATTCATCACATCTATGACAACATACTTTTCCCAACTGTCAAACAACTGCAGGCCCGGAGCGCGAGCCCACTGACACGGGAGACCCCTGCCGAGTCACGTGACCCGTTTGCCTATACTTTATAGACCACCACGTGAACACGTCAGGTAGTGTTTTGTAACAAGTTCTTGTTTGTCCGAGTGAACACGGTCAAAATATACCCCAGGCACGTCACGCATCCTTTGCCAGAGCCAATGGCAGGTCGGGTAGATCTGGCCGGGTTGTAGCTATTTATAGAAACAGGCAGACGACAATACAGCATTCCGAGAGCGACCGACGACCGGGTGACAACTGGTTTTAAAGTTTCTGCTCAACGCTTAATGAAAAGAGATTCGTTCTGACTGAAAAGTTGACTGTGGTGATATCTTATTGACAATTATTTGATAATTTGATACTTGGATGTTGATGACGCGGCTGTTAATGCGTGGTTTGACTTTAACAGACGTCTGTTGGTGAAGTTTATAAAAGCAGACGACAGCGTCAGCCACAACTTGACTCATTCAAGCAAAAAAGTTTCCAGAAGATTCTTTAACTGATCAGGAGTGGAGATCACTTCGAATTGGCGACAGACGGTCAAAGAACAGACGAGTAGAAGTGTGAAGAACAATGGCGAACGGATCTGTGATCATCTGTGTCCTGTGTTCGCTGCTGTTCGCGTGTGTTCACACTGCGTCCGTGAACACCACACAAGGAACGGACAGCCCATCCTGTGAGTAGTTCTTGCCTATTCTGTGATCGTATTGTCGTATTGTTACGTAATTCACGGTAACTGCATGGCCGTGAATAATGAATATACTGTCGGTGTCATAATCATTAAGTACAGTTTGACATGAACGGTTTTGATTAACCAAGCAGCGGTAGAAACTATCAGTTTCCGTCCACTAGTCCTTCTGATGATTACATATATAGCAAAACCCTTAAAAGTAACAAATGGCTCCTTGTCCTTATGATACCTTAACTATTGGGCAGTTTGGCTTTGGTTTGTCTGTTGTTTTACGCCGCACTCAGCAATTATTCCAGCTAGATCTATATGACGTCGGCCTGTAAATAATCGAGTCTGGACCAGACAACCCAGTTATTAATAACATAAGCATCGATCCACGCAATTGGGATCGAAGACATGCTTCAACCAAGTCAGCGAGCCTGACCACCCGATCCCGTTAGTTGCCTCCTACGACAAGCATATATAGTCGCCTTTTACGGCAAGCATATGGGTTGCTGAAGACCTATTCTACCCCGGATCTTCACGGGTCTGGGCAGTTTGGCAAGGGCGACAGGACTAGTTTCAATTTCTAACGCTGGTACGAATGTTTACATGTTTATTCCGCCTCATATATCTGGGCAAGACTACCCACATAAAAGCGCAGCTGTACACACAAACCTCTTTTCTGTTCACCCTTATGTCCTACGAGGCCCCGAAGGATACACGGTCAATACAAATTCTGTGTGTGATGTGCGTGCGTGTATGTGTGCAATGTATTACCCTGTAATATAACGTATAGCCTAGGACCGCGATAGGGTCCCACAGGCAAGACGTGACCCTACTTCACGGGACGTCAGTGAGTTAACTGGTCAAATAAAAGTAATTTGCGTAACAGTCGTCTTTTCAAATGGAACAAAAGCTGCCCTATTGCTTAGGGCAACGGTATTTGACCTCTTTCCTTCCGTTATTGTTAGCACCTGGCCACTTCGATTCACACAGGATGAAAACCCGTTAAGATCCGGGGTAGAATAGGTCTTCAGCAACCCATGCTTGCAGTAAAAGGCGACCATGGCAACTAACGGGATCGGGTGGTCAGCTCGCTGGCTTGGTTAATGCATGTCATCGCATCCCAAAATGCATAGAACGATGCTTATGATGTCAATTTCTGGACTGTCTGGTCCAGACTCGATTATTTACAGACCACCGTCATATAGCTGGAATATTGCTCAGTGCGGGGTAAAACAACAGACAGACAAATAAGGGTATGGTGAAACAGTAAACGAGGGTCCCTTTTCCACAAAGCGATCCTAGCGCTACGAAAGTCGTAAGTCTATGTTGACGTCTGCGACTTACGAGCACGTTAGCACTACGACACTCGTAAGTCTATGTTAAAGTGTGCGACTTACGATCCCGTTAGCACTACGACACTCGTAAGTCTATGTTAAAGTGTGCGACTTACGATCACGTTAGCACTACTACACTCGTAAGTCTATGTTGAAGTATGAGAATTACGATCACGTAAGCGCTACGAAAGTCGTAAGTCTATGTTGAAGTATGGGAGTTACGTCACGTTAGCACTACGCCACTCGTAAGTCTATGTTGAAGTCAGCGACTTACGATCACGTTAGCACTACGCCACTCGTAAGTCTATGTTAAAGTGTGCGACTTACGATCACGTTAGCACTACGCCACTCGTAAGTCTATGTTAAAGTGTGCGACTTACGATCACGTTAGCACTACGCCACTCGTAAGTCTATGTTAAAGTGTGCGACTTACGATCACGTTAGCACTACGCCACTCGTAAGTCTATGTTGAAGTATGAGAATTACGATCACGTAAGCGCTACGAAAGTCGTAAGTCTATGTTGAAGTATGGGAGTTACGTCACGTTAGCACTACGACACTCGTAAGTCTATGTTGAAGTCTGCGACTTACGATCACGTTAGCACTACGACACTCGTAAATCTATGTGAAAGTGTGCGACTTACGATCACGTTAGCACTACGCCACTCGTAAGTCTATGTTAAAGTGTGCGACTTACGATCATGTTAGCACTACGCCACTCGTAAGTCTATGTTAAAGTGTGCGACTTACGATCACGTTAGCACTACGACACTCGTAAGTCTATGTTAAAGTGTGCGACTTACGATCACGTTAGCACAACGACACTCGTAAGTCTATGTTTAAATATGAGAATTACGATCACGTAAGCGCTACGAAAGTCGTAAGTCTATGTTGAAGTCTGCGACTTACGATCACGTTAGCACTACGACACTCGTAAATCTATGTGAAAGTGTGCGACTTACGATCACGTTAGCACTACGACACTCGTAAGTCTATGTTAAAGTGTGCGACTTACGATCCCGTTAGCACTACGACACTGGTAAGTCTATGTTAAAGTGTGCGACTTACGATCACGTTAGCACTACGACACTCGTAAATCTATGTTAAAGTGTGCGACTTACGATCACGTTAGCACTACGACACTCGTAAGTCTATGTTAAAGAATGCGACTTACGATCGCGTTAGCGCTACGCCACTCGTAAGTCTATGTTAAAGTGTGCGACTTACGATCACGTTAGCGCTACGATAGTTTCGTGGAACAGGGCCCGGGTCTCAAATTGTTATCAATTTGACAAGCACCGGGTTTTGCTGTCTATTTCACATTCGTGTCGGGAATGATCCCGAGAGGACTGTCAAGGTATTTATGATGACTCATAAAAACAGGGCATGGGTGACAAACCTGTTTTCCCTGACTGAACAAATATAGCTACTGCAGTTGTGACTTCTCCCTGATAATTTATTCGTAACGATATGGCTGAAATATTGCCGCTCACTCACTCACTCACTCACTCACTCACTCACTGATAATTTATTCAGTTCTTTGAACTTTCCGACCACAATAACAACGTATATTGAATTCGAATCAACGAATGGACATTAACTATCAAACCATGGTAGCGAGATTGCCCTGATGACGGCTGTTACAAAAAAAGATAATTTGGTAGAAGTTACCATTTTAACTCAGACATTCGTAGTACCCGTAGCTTAAGAGACACGTTTTTCATTAGGAAATAATAGTTGCTTTCAAAAAATGTTCAAAGTATTTCCCCCTTGGTTATATGTCTGATAGCCATGTTCAAATACCGCTGTAAACATGCCCGACCTCCAATGCTGGACCTGCTCGCTTATCAGTGTAATCTGTCAGCAGTAGGTTCCTCTAGGTGGACAACAACTTTGTTGAAGGTAAGTGAATCTAAGTCATGCGTGGTACAAACTTAATACCTCCCGTTATGTCGTGACCTTTCCATGACCTCTAGGCGATCTCGAACAAACAAACACAAGACTGACATGGGTTTCGGAAAATTTGAAAATACACTCTTCAAAAAAAAGAAACGCACAGGTAGATTTTTTAGAAATATTATTGTACCTAACAAAGTCAATATATTTGATTTAATATCATAGATACAAATATGAAATTTTGAAGCTCGATAGTCACATGTTGTCGTTGTACAAAGGCATTGAAAACAGTTCATTGTCATGTCACATAAGGCCACAAGGTGGCGCTGAACTCAGTATCTCGTGCATGTTCAAGCATAGAATAAAAGAAGTTGCTAAATAATGTTCCATGAATTATGTCATGTGTTCATGTTCTTCCAGCGTCTAAATGCCCATTGGGGCGGTCGGGTAGCCCAGTGGTTAAAGCGTTCGCTGGTCACGCCGAAGACCCGGGTTCGATTCCCGACATGGGTACAATGTGTGAAGCCCATTTCTGTGTCCCCCGCCGTGATATTGCTGGAATATTGCTAAAAGCGACGTAAAACCACACTCACTCACTCTAAATGCTCATCAAAGACTCCATATCTTTGCGGTTGTTTGTTTCCATTTTTTCCCGGTTTTACGATTATACTAGACCGAATTAAAAACAAGATTTCAATTGACCAAAGTGTTATATGACTTTCGACAGGCTCCATTACGATATGTGTACCTCCACGTTTCTATGGCGTATTGAGATTTAACCCGTGGTAAGTAATTCCCTGCTACAACACGAGGCCGCAATGTAGATGTGTTGACACAATGCTACATCGTACCACGGCTATACCTGTGACCCGGAACATACGACCTACTTGTTCTTATTGAAACACTGAAATTGACGGAATAGGTCTGATTTGGCCTTGTCGGTTCAGCAGAGCGTAACTTCAGTTCTCGTGTGTATTTGGATGTATTTTAGAACCATGACTCATGAATTTTTTAAAGATGTTTTCTTGAGAAGTAGTGTATGTGCTTCAACTGTTTACGTGCGATCAACATGGAGCAATGTGTTGTGATCACGTACCCGTATGCACTGACAGGCAACGGCAGTGGGGTTTAGTAGGTTGGTTCAAGTAGCACTGCTCTTTGTAAACAACAGAATGTGTATGGATTTTTTTGGACAGTTGTCACAGGTCGTGGTATGGAGGCCTAGTGGGTAACGCGCTTGCTCGTCACGCCAATGATCCGGGTTTGATTCCTTACATATTTATGTTGATCGATTCCTCACATGAGTATATCGGGTGATGGCCATTCCTGTGTCCCTCGAACATGGCGTCAGATAAACAGGCTCCCACAGTCGCCAGATCCACCTCTATTCGCCTTGGGAGCATGGGACAATTCCGTCCATATCTTGATGCAGGAACCACACTTGTCCAAAGCTATGTTCTGTCTAGGCTAGACTATTGTAACGCTTTGTTACACGGCGCAACCAGAACTCAATCCACAGAACACATCACCGAGTCTTGACAGGTTGCCAGACCCGTGAAGATTCCGGGGTAGAATAGGTCTTCAGCATCCCATGCTTGCCGTAAAAGGCGACTAACGGGATCGGGTGGTCAGGCTCGCTGACTTGGTTGTTGCATGTCATCGACCCCAATTGCGTGGATCGATGCTCATGATATCAATTACTGGATTGTCTGGTCCAGACTCGATTATTTACAGACCGCCGTCATATAGCTGGAATATTGCTGAGTG